AAATGCTTTATTTGCGCTTCCATCCTGTAGCCTCCCAAAGTTGTAGAAGTCGTTGTAAGCCCAGCGAACGCTTCGTGCAATAATGGGTTTGCAGAAGCAGAGGGCGTAGCAAATGGACAAACAGGACAGACAAACGGGGATCACGTTTCTGCCGAGGAGCATGAAGAGACACCTGTCACTGACCCCTCTGTCACTGACCGCTGTGTGACCGGCGCCAGTGAGCCGAGCAAGGACTCGGATAGCAACGACCCCACCAGCGAGGAAAGATCTGCCAGCCCGACGGTGCCAGATGCCGTGCAGGAGAACGGGGATTCGAGGAAGGAGCAGAAATGTGCTCCCACAGCTCGAGGAGGATCAGTCAGTGGCACCGCGGAGGTTGAGAAGCCTGTGGCCGCCCAGGTATTTGGAGGGGATGTTGTTTTGTTCTGAGAACTGCTATTTCCGGGGTGCCTTGATGGTTGAAGCAGACTTTGTGCTGTTGAGGCTAGAGAGGTGAGCAGAGTAAGTCTGATTCCCCGTTTGGACTTCTCTGTTGACGTCCGCCCCTTGGCGTTCATATGACCTAATGCAGTTGCGAGCGCCGTAAAGCCTTACTAAAACTAAGATTGCTCATGACAACAGTGTAGGGATAACCTCCTGCGATCATGCAGTTGCGTGCTCCGTGAAACTATTACTAAAACTAAAACGAACCTGCGAGCATCTTCATAAAACTACTTCCTATCAACAGGATTCACTCTGGAAGCTAAAGCAATATGTCGTCAAGTTTAAATCTGCAAGCTAAAGCTGTAGGATGACTAGTTTAAATCTGCAGTGGTTTTTTTTTGGTTTTTGTTTTTATCATTTGTTAAAATCAATAATGATAAAAAGTGTTCTTTTCTATGAAAATCATGTTCCAAATTTGAATGACTTGTTCACCCTGTCCCTTGTTGTTTAGTGACAGCTTACAGATTTCTCCGGTGTATTGTTGTCCAAAGTAGTAAAGTACTGTGTTCTTTTTATAGGCTGAGAGTAAGCACAAACTTAAGAAAAAGAAGAAGAAAAAAGGACGAAAGTCTCCGCCCATCCAGAAAGGAAAGCAAGGAGTGGTCGTAGATCAAGAGGTTTGACTTTGGAGTTGTGCTTTTTGTTCAATAGCCCATGTCCCAACTCCCTGTTCATATTGTCCATTGGTAACAAATGTTTGTTGTCATTTCACTAATCATTTTTGTTAATTGTTTTGACATTTGTTCTATGAATTTGACCAGTGCGGAGGTGCAAACCTCTGCTTATTGGTTGGCCAGAGCTGCAACGTTTTTCCATTTAATTAAAGATCTTTCGTTTTTATCTCTCCTCCTTTTTTTGTATGATACTCTGTCACACCTCTCGTCTTTAACGGATACATTTCTTTGTGTTATAAGTGCCTTAAAACTTTTAATAAAAGTAAGAGCTGTGACAAATTATTATGAACTACTAAGTGAAATGCAGCTTTTTCCATTTTGTATTTAACAATCTATCGACTGCGTGCTGTAAGACTCCTCCATGCACCGTCTTGAAAAGTGACGTGTGACAGTCTTACACTGAGCAGTAGGTATATTATTGACCCAGTGAACTAACACCCGATGTCTTCTTCTAGTGTTCTACTTTGGAAGAAATATCATGTTTTTGACTAACTCCCGACTCCCCACCCTACCACCCTCCTCTGTGGGTCAGGGCATTCATGATGTGATCTTTCAACACCATCTATTTACCTGCTTGAGGGAAACCCCCCCCCTCTAATGAATGAATAAGCATATATGTGAATGCCAATCTTGGGGAGGCATATGTGTGATATTTATTTTTGTTTACGGAATCTCTCTTCTTTTCGTTCCTTCTTCCTTACCTTACTGAAGGTAAATTTCCTTACCTTACTCAGGGTAAATATCCCATTCCCCCCTCCCCCCAAAAAAGAAGTCATTTTTGCAAGTCCAGGGTTCAGGTATATTGACTCAGTACTTAATTCAACCGACTTATTCAATTATTCAGTCTACATGCCTGTGCAAAATATCAAGTTAACTGAACTTTGATTTCTCAATTCTGTTTCTCTCTTTGGTTTTTCTGGTTTTAATCTTGATTGATTCATTGCATTGAGAGGTGAGACTTCCTCTTGTATACATATACTGTGCCTTGACTCCCCAAATTGTGAAATAATACCATTGTTGGATTTTGCTTCATTTTTCTTTTAAGTTGGCTTAATTCATTGTTTTGTTGTAATTCTAATCATAATTATTTGATAAAAAAGCAATTTAATGGTTTTTCAAAAAAAATATTTAGCGTTTAACCCTTTTGGACAGCTGTGTGTTATTACTGTAAGAAAAGGGTGAACTCGAAATGCTTCACAAATGTGATTTGAAAAAGTTACTTGGGCAAATGGATGAAGTAAAAAATAGTCTAGATCTAGTAAAGCATTGAATAAATATGAACAACTTACTTTTGGATTTTTTCATGATCTTGTCTATGGTGTAAAGAGTTGGTTCGCTTTTGTTTTATTTATGTTTCTTAATGCCGTATTTAACCCTTCCAACATTTTCTGTGAGATCAGTGGACTATCGCTGCCCTGATCGTAGCTTGTATACTTTACTTTTTTAAAAATTTTTTTGACCTTGTGTCATAAATGTTTTTCAAAGGACAACAATGTAATGACAAGACAATTGTGGCTTAGGTAATGTTTAGGAACAGCGGATAATAAGGCATATTGCAGCCTAAATATTGTTTTGTCATTACTCTCTCTAACATTTTTGTTCAGGGTTATAACTTAGATCTGAAGGTTTTCAGGTTGGGGCTTTTGATTTAGGTGTAGCTTGTTGGTGCGATTTTTGGAAAAAGTTAAAAGGTTCTGTAGAATTTGTCCCCCACCCCCCACCCGTAAGATAATAGTGCACCCCCTCTTTGACTCTCATAGTTCTTGCCTTCTATGTTCTAATGAGGCATTAAATTTGATTACATAATTTAGATTTCTTAAATAAATGAAGGGCCCAAATGTTTTTAAACAAATAGTGACCTGCCCGTTAGTCATATTGTTTTGTAAATTGAAGATCATAACATATTGAGAAATATTTAGTTTGTTCTCTTAAAGCGTTATTCTGTTGTAGTTGTGATAGCTTTCATGTGGAATTCAGGAGGGTATTTTGTTTTTGTGTGTTCCTAATACTTGTTTGAAAAATGATTCATGATGAAATTTAGATGAAATGGCTTAGGTGCCTTTCTGCTTACTTTTGTACCTTGTTACATTAGTTTTCTGGTTATTCTTCATGTGATAATTATTTCTTTTGGGACTGTTTTTCTGTTTGTATCTCAATAGAACATTTGTAAAATTCCTACTTTGAAGACCATTCTCTGGTGACATCCACCCTTTAGCGCTCATATGACCTTATGCAGTTGTGAACGCTGTAAAACCGTTCTAAAATTAAACAGTAGTATAGTTACATACATTACAATCAGAACTTTGTAGCTCTCATGATATTGTCACAGTTGAGATCAGTTACTTTGTAGCATGCCTATGTGATCAGATTGAGTGTCCAGTCTCGTGAAATGGAGAAACTGCGAGTGTCTTTTTTGAAAAAATGAACAGTATAATAGTATATCCTGCATAGTTAGGTTCTGAATACATGTATTGTGAAGCAATGTTTCTATTACATTGTGGTTGGTGGGTGCTCTGGTGTGGTTTGCTCCTTCTTTCATATGAAACATCTATCGTTCCTTATTTTATCTCTCCTGCCTTTTTTTGTGTGTATGTTATTCTCTTGTTACTGTAACACCTCTATTGTTCAGAACTTGTATGACCTTATTGTGTTGCAAGTGCCGTAAAACTCTTAGGAAAACTTTGATTGTGGTTGGAAGGAGAAAAGCTGCGCATCTCACACCGCTGACAGCCACAGACAGACCTGGTCTGTTTCTCCTGGACGGTGCAGGTGGCTTGTGCTGCTGCCAGCCCTTGATGTGTTTATTGATGTTTCCTTTTCTCCTCTCCCCACAGGGCAAGGACAGCGAGTCTGTGGAGAGCAAGCCTCCACTGCCGCCCTCGGCCGTAGAGAGACAAGCGTCGGCGGAGAAGTCTCCGGCAGCCCGCGATGTCAAACCCACGTTCTCGTACGCCGCGGCAGCCACAGGAGAGAAGGCCAAGGAGGCGTCTGCGCGGCCTGTCGCCCAAGTGGAGGCCCCGGCTCAGCCCGTGGAGGAGAAGAAGCCAGCCGCCGTCGCTGGCCCGGACACCACAGACAACAAAACAAAGGCTGCTCCCAAAGTGGAGGCCGCACCGCCCGCTGCTTCTGTGGCCACGCCTCCTCCTGTCGCCCCCGCAGAAGTCAAGCCGGCCGCCGCGCCTGTTGTAAATCAAAACCAAGCCCCCAAGAAAGAGCAGTCCCCTGTCCCCGCAGCAGTTGAACCTCCAAAGCCATCTGCCCCGGCCCCGGCACCTGCTCCCTCCCCTGCCCCCGCCCCCGCCCCCGCCCCCACCCAAGCGCCTGCTGCCGTCCAAGCCAGCAAACCGGAGCCTGCTGCAGAGCCAGAGAGGCGGAAGGAAGCACCGGCACCTCGCGTACTGGAGGAAGATCGTCCAGACAACACGCGGGTCTCGGAGGAGAAGGCGGCGGAAATCAAAGACACAAAGCGGGACATCAATGATGAGAACCAACCGCCCAAAGACACTGGCATCAAGCCGGAGGAAAGCAAGAAAGTGAGCAGTTTGGTTCTGGAAGAAGATGTTGCCAAATTCCGGAAAGGTAAGGATGCCGCTTGTCCTTTTTATGTTGCATATGTGTGGCATTGTGGTGGATTCAGGCGCTCTGTGGAATCATGAAATTGAAGAAAGGTATTTCTAGTTTGATAGGCAATAATTATCAAATTATCTTTTTATGTCCAAAGAACACACATCTTTGTGTTGATTCTACGGACAAATGGTTGTCCTTTCTTTTTAGCTACTTTTTTTCCATTATTTTAACCATTACTTGTGGTGCCTGAATTTCATGAGTTCTCCTTGAGTGTGTGTCAAAAGTAATGTATAAACTATAAACGCAGTTTTAAAATATTTCCTGAGGCTACGTGATGTATGTTCCCATCTGACATTGAAATGTTGAAATGTCAAACTTTTGGAATTCCTCGTTTCTGATGGCCTCTACTCTATTCTCTTTCATAACTGAAAAAGGTATGTTGCCTGTTGATTAGTCGAGAGATTTGTGTATTGTCTGAGTGGTGCTTTGAACACCAGATAGTTTATATGTCTTGGTTTTCTTATTGAGGAACTTTGTCGAAGTGAAAATTTCTGTTTTGTTTTAACGAACTAATAATGCGCATTCGTGACTGATGTGATTTGTTTGATGTCAGCCATGCTTTTTGTATGAGGATGGGCATGGTGGTGATCACAAACGCTTGAAGTTATGGACACTGACAGAGAATGCTAAGTTTTTATGATCAGAGGGTCCCATTAAGTCAATGACTGTTGGCATATCATGTTTAAAGGAGAGGGTTATGCAGTTGCGAGCACCATAAAACACCAGAACAATAAAGGAGAGGGGTGCAGTTTGGTAGAAAACAAAGTTACTGATGCTCTACAAATGATGTATTATGTTATCCATTCTCTCCTTGTCTGTACTCTCTTTGCTGCCTCTTCATGTCACCTGTTTTGGTTAAATTTGGTAAACAACTTGTGTTTCGCGCGCTCATATGACCTTACGCAGTTGCGAGCGCCGTAAAACCCTATACTACTATACTATACTTAAATTTTAACTTACTTTCTAAGACACAAATGAGACAGCTGGACGTTTTTAGAGTTGAATCTTGGCAGTTGAGGCTACATGATGTATGTTCCCATCTGACTTTGAAATGTTGAAATTTCAAACTTTGGAATTCCTCGTTTCTGATGGCCTCTCACACTATACCTCTTTTTAGGCTCTGATAAGGGAGAATGGTCTGCATCTTCCTCATTCACTTCCTTTTTCTCGTGTACATTTCGGCTCACTGCCATCTCACACCAGGCTGGCCGTGGAAGGCAGGCTCGAAGCAGCTTTTCTCCAAATTTATCCAAAATGTTTCAACGGGGCTGTATGTCTAATTACAATTTTGTAAAATTTAAACTTCATTTTCCCATGCGCTTTGTTTTTCATTTAACACTTTGCGATCACTTGGCGCAAAAAATTATCCATTCTGGTCACCTGACGCAGTTCTGCTCCAGGTCCGAGAAGTCTGATATAGTCACTCTCCTGGCTGGGTGACCAGACGGGGTATTGTACTGCTGGGCGCTGGCTGTGTGACTGCAAAGTGTTAATTGTACTTTTCTATTTTTAAAAATAATTTGTGGATGATTGGCAGCTATTCTGGTGCATTTTACTCCCTTCTTTCCAGTCAAACAACTCGGCCTTATTTCCCCTCCTTTTCTTTGTGTGTTACTCTACTGTGACACTTCTTTGACACTTTTTATTATTCTATAAACTTTCTTTCTTCTTGTGTTGCCTATATTTTATTAGTTCTCTTTGGGTGTGTAGAAAGTTGAACGTCAATGGAGTAGCAAGAGATCCTGAGGCTATGTGATGTATGTTCCCATCTGACATTGAAATGTTGAAATGTCAAACTTTTGGAATTCCTCGTTTCTGATGGTCTCATTTTGATCACTGTGTCATATGTAGGGAAATCACAAGGTTAGGCTTACGGTTTTTTGTGTTTGAGTGTGGAACGACTGCTTTGAACAGTCTTTGTGGGTAGTTGGCGGGTGCTCTGATGTGCTTTGCTCCTTCTTTCCTATTAAACATCCATCCTCCTTATCTCTCCTTCCTTTTTTGTGTATGCTGCTCTCTTGTAACACATCTATTCTAAAGAATGAACGCCTTCCAGGTTTGTTCCTCAGTTGTCATCTTTGACTGCCACTTTTTCGTGGGCGATCTGGTGTGGTTTGCTCCTTTCCTATCTTCATTTTGTATGGTACTGTGTTGTAACCCCTCCAGACTTCAATTCTTATATGACCTAATTGTATCGCAAGTGCAGTAAAACTCACAAAAGCTTAACTAGCTATAATGGTGGCTGATGGGTTTGTATAGATATAGAGTGGTTATTTGAGTGAATGTCATAGAAGAAAAGATGGTATGTCAAGTTTGACTAGAATTCAGGATGAATTAGAAATTTAATCATCAATACTGGTTCCTCCCCACTTTTAGTGGGTGGTTGGTGGGTGCCCTGGTGTAGTTAGTGCCTTAAAACTCTTACTAAAATTAAAGTTAAACCCCACCACCGCTAGATGTGTTAGCAAGGATTGGATTCATTTGTGTTAGCAAGGATTGGATTCATTTTGTGAGATATTTATTTTTCTTTATGCTAGAGTATACTTTTCTGTTCAGCTCCGATTGAAACTAATGGTCAGAATTTTTGATAAATTGGCATGAGGTTGTATGATGAATGTTTCCTTTCAGCAACTCTGTGGTGAAACTTCAAACTTTTTGGAATTCCTCGTTCTGACAGCCTCATTGTCTCAGTCTTATTAGGCATCGGGCTTTGCTCCTGTACTTTTGTGGCTTTGATTATTTTTGTATTTTTTTGTTCTTGCTTGCCTCCTTTGTGGTAACTGGTAACAAAGTAGTGTATCTGATGCTATTCAGGGAAACAAAAAGTGAGAATTACTGCTCTTCATGTAAAAAAATTAAGTCAATAATAAGGGGACCGGCATATAGATGACCTCAGTTTAGGCATTGTGATATCATATTTAATGGTGCGGGATAGAGGGTGGCAGAAAACAACACTGTTGATCTTCCTGCAAATTTTGTATCTTGTTTTCCATTCGCAGATATGTCTGTACTTTTTTTAATGGTTCTGTTAAATTTGTATTACTTCTATAAAGTGCAAAATTAAATAACTAAGAGCTGAACGTTTTCAGATTCTAATATGGCGTTCGGAGGCTACATGATGTATGTTCCCATCTGACTTTGAAATGTTGAGATTTCAAACTTTGGAATTCCTCGTTTCTGATGGCCTCTCATTATTTCTATTTTAGCAGTGGTAAATGGTCTTTGCAATTTGGTGCCTTCGATTTTTTCTTCTTCTGAAATTGGGAAATACTGCTCTACTTGGCTGTGTGATGCGTTTTGCTCTCTTCAGTGTCATTGTATCGTTCTCTTTGTGATAAGACCAGAGACCCCACAAATCCCCACAAAATCCTTTTTTTTTTTCTTTCTCCCCTCTCTCTTTTTAATGAAACAGTAGTTTATTGCCCATCTCTTACGTTCAAAGACAGGTCTGAATTGGACTAGAAATGCGCCTAAAACATAAATAATTATAAAGCTGGCTGTCAGGTTGTTGCGGTTGTGTGATGAACATCGAATCGTCTTGATATATGAGGTGGAATTTGACTGGAAAGATAGCGCTGTGGTTCTGATTGAGTAACCGTCATAGTTTGTTTAGAGGGGGTGGACTGATCAAAGAAAGTTTTGGGAAGAATTATTTTCTATTACATTGGAAATCTGCAGTGTGAAAAGTGTTGTTCCTTAATTGACGGCATGAGATTGCATGATGAATGTTTCCTGGCAGATCTTTTGTGGTGAAATACAAAACTTTTTGGAATTCCTCGTTCTGATAACCTTCAAATTTGATTGTGTTAATAGTTATAAAGGGATTGTTTCTTTCTTGAGGTTTACATCTGTAATAGACAAATGATTGCGCAAACTGTTGGCGACATTTTTTCTGAGGACAGAGTCGTCCTCTAAAGTTTAGCTCAGTCTTTTTGTTGTCAGTGATCTTCGTAGCGTTCCGTTTGATGATTGGAGCATTGAATATCCTTTTGTGGTTTGTGTGTGCTCTCGTGTGGGTTGCTCCCTCTTTCCTATCAAGCATTCATCATTCTCATCTCTTCTCCTTTTGTGTCAATCTAGAGTTGCCCCTCTGATCGTAGGCACTTTTATGACCTGTCTGCAAGTGTTGTAAAACTTTTACTAAAACTGAGACCTAACCAGCAGAATTGATTCCCTGGAGGTTGTGTGATGAATGTTTCCTGGCAGATTTTTTGTGGTGATATACAAAACTTTTTGGAATTCCTCGTTCTGATAACCTCCTAAGTAATTATGTGTGACTTATATCAGGGTTATTGGGTTTCCAGAGTATCAACCTGTAATAGGTACATGTTTGTGAACATTTTGTGGGCACAGATTTCTGCTGAGGACTCGTTCGTTGACTGTTCAGTTTTCCTGTCTTTTTGTTGTCGGTGATCGTCCTAGGGTTCAAGTGTAGCCTTGAAGCAATGAATATCCATGGGTGGCTGGTGGGTGCTGTGGTGTCTTGCTCCATCTATAGTTCTTATCTCTCCTTCTTTTCTGTGATATTCTCTACTGACACCTCTAAATTTTGGCACTTTTTGACTTGTTTGCTGAACTAAAAGCTAATCTGGGAGAAACGGTTCCCTGGAGGTTGTGTGATGAATGTTTCCTGGCAGATTTTTTGTGGTGAAATACAAAACTTTTGGAATTCCTCGTTCTGATAACCTCCAAATTGATTACCTGTGACTTCTAAAGGGATTATTAGGAGATGTCTATAGTATAGAACTGTTATTTGCAGAAAACATTGGCATGGGTATCTCTTCTGAAAACTTTTAACAGTACAGTGTTTTTTCATGTGTTTTTGTTGTTGGTGATGGTCTTAGAGCTCTATTTATGCTGTTGACTATTGAAGATCTGGAGGCTGTTAAGTGTGGAAAAGATGTACCATTACTGAATCAGCGGTGCTTAGTAGTTGTTTCTGACTTAATTGAGTTTCAACCTTTGGTATTCCAGATCTGATACTTGTGCTCTTGACTTTATTTTTGAGTTTCAGCCTTTGGTATTCCAGATCTGATACTTGTGCTCTTGACTTTATTTTTGAGTTTCAGCCTTTGGTATTCCATGTGTGAATATATTCATGAGGCGGGCTCGTTTGAAAGATGTAAGTGTTCTCAGTGTGTGGTACTTCTTTGCTTGTACTTTTGAAATCCTGTGGTGAGATCTACTCTGTGGTGGCGCCAGACGTGAGAGGCTACATGATGTATGGTTCCCTTCTGACTTTGAGCTGTTGATATGCCAAACTTTTGGAATTCCTCGTTCCTTTGGTGCCACCATTGAACTGTGTTATTATAGTGTTTACCTCGCTTGTTTTCGCTTTTATAATCGCATAACTTTGAGGTCTTTCTTTTCATGTCAATACTGACAGCATTTTCATTTTGCTTTGTTGTTTCAGATTCTAAGGATAAACTGACTTATGACAGAGCTTACCTTATGGAGTTGCGAGGATGTGCGTCGTCGCAGACTAAACCTGAGGGTCTTCCAAACTTGGATATCATTCTGGATAAGGTTTGTCTTGTTTACTTGGCTATTTTCATTTTTTTAAGGGTCAAGAGTTAATATATGGGGGGGGGGGGGGGAGAGGTCACTCTTCTCAGTACCGAAAACAGCTGTATATTTCTTAATTTCATGTTTTCTTTTTGCTCAGTGTTGAAGAGATCTGTTCCAATGTTCCCAACAATGCTTTTTGTGTGGTACTTACCTTTCCTTTTATTTGTTTGTTACTTATTTACCTTTCCTTGTATTTGTTTGTTACTTACTTATCTTTCCTTGTATTTGTTTGTTACTTATTTACCTTTCCTTGTATTTGTTTGTTACTTACTTACCTTTCCTTGTATTTGTTTGTTACTTACTTACCTTTCCTTTTATTTGTTTGTTACTTATTTACCTTTCCTTGTATTTGTTTGTTACTTACTTATCTTTCCTTGTATTTGTTTGTTACTTATTTACCTTTCCTTGTATTTGTTTGTTACTTATTTACCTTTCCTTGTATTTGTTTGTTACTTACTTATCTTTCCTTGTATTTGTTTGTTACTTACTTATCTTTCCTTGTATTTGTTTGTTACTTACTTATCTTTCCTTGTATTTGTTTGTTACTTATTTACCTTTCCTTGTATTTGTTTGTTACTTACTTATCTTTCCTTGTATTTGTTTGTTACTTACTTATCTTTCCTTGTATTTGTTTGTTACTTATTTACCTTTCCTTGTATTTGTTTGTTACTTATTTACCTTTCCTTGTATTTGTTTGTTACTTATTTACCTTTCCTTGTATTTGTTTGTTACTTATTTACCTTTCCTTGTATTTGTTTGTTACTTACTTACCTTTCCTTGTATTTGTTTGTTACTTACTTACCTTTCCTTGTATTTGTTTGTTACTTATTTACCTTTCCTTGTATTTGTTTGTTACTTACTTATCTTTCCTTGTATTTGTTTGTTACTTACTTATCTTTCCTTGTATTTGTTTGTTACTTACTTATCTTTCCTCTTATTTGTTTGTTAATCTGCAGCACTTATACGACCTATTTGTGCTGCAAGGGCCGTTAAACTCTTTGGTGTGGGTGGTTGGTGGGTGCTCTGATGTGGTTTGCTTCTTCTTTCCTATCAAACCTCTATCACCCTTATCCCCCCTTCTTCTTTTTTATGTTTGTTACTCTCTTGTATCTTCTGGCGCTCATATGACCTTATGTTGTTGCGAGCACCTTAAAACCTGTACTAAAACGGAAACCTCTTTGGGGGTTGGGGTGTTTCTCCCCCCCCCTCCTTTTTTTTTAGTGCTGATCCTGTTGCATATGGCTCCAATTTCTCACAGGTTATGTCAAATTTCCTACAAAGCCACGGTGAAGACTTTCCTAACAGAACTGCTTGTTTCCAATGTTATTGTGTCCAGAGAACCTTCCTACATTATAGTACAGTGGAAATTGTCTAAACCACCAGCTTTTGATGAGAAAAGTGGCGGCCTTAGACAAGGGAACATCTTACACAGTGTCAGTATGATGGGATGGGGGGGGGGGGAGGGGGCTGTTTGAACAGGTGATTATCTTAACAAGTGGCTGTTAGAACAGGTGACCGTTGGAGCAGGTTGGACTTAGTGTTAAAAATGTTATGTGGAAGGTGTAGACTGGACTATAATATTTGACCTGAAGAGCCTGAGACACTTGGGTTCATGAACTGTGGCTTTGTAGGAATCTGATGACAATGACCTTTGGAAGAGCTCTGGTAGCATTTTGTTTGTTTCTCTGTGTGATGATAGGCTTATTTCTCTTTCCAGCCGGTGATCAATGCCAACAGAGGAGGCATGGCAGGCCCCATGGACTTCACTCCGTCGTTTTTCCAGCCAGGCGTTGGTGGTCAGAGGGTAAGCTGCTCTATGGTTTTGTTTGTTTGATTGGGTTTCCAGTTCAGTTGTTTTTGTCTTCTTTTGGTTGTTATTATCTCATGAGAATCTTTTGACCTTATGTCTTATGGAATAGCGAGCGCCGTAAAACTTTACTAAAACTAGAACTTCATGAGAATTTTTTTTTTTTTCCCAGACTGGAAGTAATGCTGTGCTTTAAGTATTATCTGTGCAATGATCCAGTAAAAAGTTACACTGGAGTAGCTGTTGGAAAACTGAGGAATCATTCTTTTGGCCTGCAGAAAATTTTAATTACATTTTTTTTTTTAATACTTGTTTTATTGAACCGGGTTGATTTTTTGCGAGGCATAGTTAGTTGTATTTTTGGAAAGTCTCCTTCCCTTCATTGAGTAGGTACTCTTTTACTCGTTTGTCGGCTTCAGTTAAAGTCTCCATACATATACCAGGCTGCCTCAATTTCAAATCTTAATATCCCGTTTTTCTTTCCAGCATGCTCCGCCGATGGGCAAGAGCAGCAGTCGAGGCCGACAGAGACCCGATGTTCCCATGCCCAAGATCATCACCCGCTTGTCCCTCACCACAGACGCCAAGCCGCTGCATCAGAGCGAGAAGCCCTGGAAGTCGACACGCGGTCAACCAGCCTCAGGGGAGCAGGCTGAGAAGGTGGGTGGTTGGCGGGTGCTCTGGTCTGATTTGCTCCTTCTTTCCTATTAAATGTCTGTGTTAGTGGTTGGCAGGTGCTCTTGTGTGGTTTGCTCCTTCTTTCCTATCAAACGTCTATCGTCCTTTTCTCTCCTCCTTTTTTGGGTTTGTTACTCTCTTGTAAAAACTTAATCTTCTGCACTTACATGATCTTAATTTATTGCAAGTGTCGTAAAACTCTGACTAAAACGTCTGTCATCCTTATCTTCCTTCCTTCTCTCTTTCTGTGTTACTCTCTAGTAACATATCTTTTTTATCTTCAGCACTTTATTGACCTGTGTTGCAAGTGATGAAAAAAACTGAAGACATTCTTGTATCTTGGGATAGATGTATTTTTCTAGCCAATGAAAAATGTTCTATGTGACAGATCGTAAATGATCCATTAAATTTTTAGCCCCATCTTGATAAGATTTGAAGAAGTGTCGGCTACTTGAAAATGAAGTAGGAACAGGTCTTGTAGCTTTATGGAAAGTTAAATAAAACAAATCCAAAAAGAATGTTCCAACTTTTTGTTTCCTGATTATTTCAGAATAAATCTCTGGAAGCAGAGACTTTGTTCATCATGAACCGTCTGACGCCCACAAACTTTGAGCGTCTTGCTGGTGAGATGAGGAAACTGCAGGTCAAGAACTACGAGGACTTGCAGGAGCTGGTCAAAATATTCTTTGACAAAGTAAGTGATCATATGCATTCCACTCTATAGTCAGATGTCATAAGAAGGTCATTCTTCTTAGCCCCATAAAATACATTTTAAGGCCACCGCAAAGTATAATGTATGGCAATGATCAAGTTTTGCTTGAGTCATATGGGGTTTTAGCTTTTGTTGCTGGTTGTTTTGTTTTGGGGGGTTTACTGCCGTCCCCCTTATTGCCTTGAACCTTATATTTTATTGTGCTGGGTCTTGGTGTTCTATTTCTATTACTCTATCATTACTGGAATGTTACTTTATTGCTAAGAAAGAAATGACTTTCTTCTGTTGCGTATGAATTCGCCCTGAAATATTATGTATAATTTTTTTTTTCTACAGGTGACGATGGAAACGAAATTCGTGTCTGCTTATGCAATGTTGTGTAAAGTGATGTCCTCGGTGAGTATGCATGATATGTTCACACGCAGGTGCAGTAAGATAAAGAAAAGGTGCTTTTATGGACTTCGGACTCGTTGCTTCTTTGCATCATTAATGCTGAAAACCAAAATCAGTTTCTCAGTTTTTCATGGATATTTTTTTTTAGGGGGGGGGGGGTAATATGTTCTTTGGAGGAAGAACTGGCTGTGTAAATATTTCATTTCCTGTAATGGCTGTATAACAATTTCTGGTACCTGGCTGTATAACAATTATATCTCCCTTGAGTGACCAGAACAAACAATTTCCTGTAACTTGCTGTTCCAACAATTTCTTGTAACTGGCTGTACAACGAACGATTTCCTGTAACTGGCCTTCCTTATATAACAATTTCGTCTCCTGCGAGTGACTAGAACAAAGAATTTCCTGTAACTGGCTGAACCGTTACCACAATTTCTTCTCATGTGACTAGAACAATGTCCTGTAGCTGACTGTACCACCCAACAATGTCCTGTAGCTGACTGTACCACCCAACAATGTCCTGTAGCTGGCTGTACAACCCAACAATGTCCTGTACTTTTCAGCTGAAGGTCCCCCCGCCCCCCGGCCTGAAGGAGACGGCAGCGACCTTCCGTGTGGTCATGTTGTCCAAGTGTCAGCAGGAGTTCGAGGCGGACAAGACCATCATTTTTGAAGACCCTGAGGAGAAGAAGAAAAAAATTGAGCAGGAAATGCCGGACAGTGTAAGTGGGGGGTTCGTGTATAGATTAGATGGTATTTTTGTGTAGTTGGCTCGGATGTGAAGTTTTTGCCGCATACTTGTTTTCTCGTGTGTTGGCTGATTAGTATTGTGAAGTTTTTGCCACATACTTGTTTTCTCGTGTGTTGGCTGATTAGTATTGTGAAGTTTTTGCCACATACTTGTTTTCTCGTGTGTTGGCTGATTAGTATTGTGAAGTTTTTGCCACATACTTGTTTTCTCGTGTGTTGGCTGATTAGTATTGTGAAGTTTTTGCCACATACTTGTTTTCTCGTGTGTTGGCTGATTAGTATTGTTTCGGCACTGCTGTCGGAAAAATTTGTGTATGTGTAAGGGGGTGGATGGTGGGTGCTCTGGTGTTGTTTGCTCCTTGTGAGTGGTTGGCGGGTGCTCTGGTGTGGTTTGCTATGTATTGTCTTTACCTCTCCCTTTTTGTGTTTGTTACTTTTGAGTAACACTTAATCTTCAGTTCTTTTTTGGTCTATTTGTGTTGACAGTGCCTTAAAACTTGTACTAGTGGCTGGTTGGCGGGTGCTCTGGTGTGGTTTGCTCCTCCTTTCCAATCAAACAAACATCTATCGTCTTTGTTTCTCCTCCTTCTTTTTTGTGTTTGCTACTCTCTTGTAACACCTCTAATCTTTGGCACTTATATGACCTTATCGTGTTGCAAGTGCCGTAAAACTCTTCTTACTATAAACAAAAACAAACTTGCACTAAAGCTCTGAACTAAAGTACTGTGTATTATACATTGTGATGTGTTTAATTTGTCTTTGTCATTACTGTGTTTGTTTCGATCAAATTTAATTTACCCCAAACTATCTTTTTTGACAGACGGAACGTGCAGAGCTGATAGAAAAGACTCTGTATCAGATGAAACTGAAGAGACTGAAATTCTATGGCAACATCAGGTGGGTTTTCCTTTGAAAATATGAGAAATTACCTTTTGCAACAGTCTCTTCCGTTATTGTGTTCCTTTGTGTTGCAAGTGGTGTATGACTCTTACTAAAAACTAACAATTTGGCCTGATGAGTCTAGCACTGGGCTATGAATCATGTGATTCCAGAGTGCTCCACTGAATGCCAAGAGTTTCAATAGTGGGTGGTTGGCGGATGCTATGGTGTGGTTTGCTCCTTCTTTCGTATCAAACATCGTTTTTATTTCCCCTCCTTCTTTTTTATTTTTGTTACTCTCTTGTAACACCTTTAATCTTCGGGCGCTCATATGACCTTATGCAGTTGTGAGCGCCGTAAAACCTCGTCTACTAAAACTAAAAACTTGATTCTCTGTTCTTAATCTGTCATAGTGTGATGGGTGTTGATCGTCAAAGATGTTTGCGTGTCATTGCTTGTCACCAGTTGTATGTATGACATGTCCATGGCGCACCGTCTGCAAGTTGTTAAGTTACGTGTAGAGCGTATTTTAAAAACACCTGTATCAGACAAAACAAAGGGAAATTGTACAGCAATATGAGCTGGTTTACCTTCTGATGTGGTTTGCTTCTTTCTACTCAGGAACTGTTATCATTATTTTCATCTGTTCATTTAGAAAGTTGGCCATTGTCGCGCCATTATGTTGCTAGCTCTGGCCCAATGACACTGTCCTCCCTTATTTGTGGGTGGTTGGTGGGTGCTCCGGTGTGATTTGCTCCCTGTCAAACATCAGTCGTCCTTATCTCTGCTCCTTCTTTTTTGTGTATGTTACTCTCTTGTAACACATCTATTCTTAGGCACTTTTTGACCTTATTGTGTTACAAGTGCCGTATAACTATTGTTAAGACTGAAAAACTGTCCTCCCTTATTTCAGATTTATCGGAGAATTGTTCAAGCTGGGCATGCTCACGGAAAATATCATGCATGACTGTATATTCCGTCTGCTGAAGGCTCGGGATGACGACTCCCTCGTCTCGCTCTGCCAGCTCATCACCACTGTCGGACAGAATCTGGACACCGAAAAAGCAAAGGTGATTGTTGTTACTTTTTTTTTATGTGAGTAAAACTGTCGATTGTGCCATAATAACAGACCTGTAGCCTTCTAGGAGGACAAAAAATCTAGAAGTGTGCAAGTTGCGCACGTTTAAGATCCCTTGGTGGTCTTAAATCAATTGTCTTTCTGTTATGTCAAGTTAAAAAGGGCTGTAAATGCAGTTGGAAAATCTGTACCTTTTTTTTTTGTATTGTGATGTTGCTTTTTTTTCTGTGACACAAATTATTAGGGCCGGGTGAATGCCGGGGTAAAGAGCTCAGAACAGGCTACCCAGGTATTGGTGTCCCTTTGCAAATGCACTTAAATTATGTCCCTTCGTTCAAAATTTAACTTTTAAAAGTACTGAGTACTTATCGATACTGAGCTCTCTTAGATACAGTGCTCGACGTTGGCCACCATCGACTAGTGCCCATCTCTACGCTTTCCTCCTTTTCCTGGAAACCAGCAGACCACAAAAAGGCCACATTTGGGCATGTTATATTAGAAATTTCCAAGAATCCATGGTGTACTCTGGTAGGGCTATGCCTACAGTTTGTTTCAACTTCAATGGTCCTTATCAGGAAGCAACTGGTGTGCAGTTCTAAGAATCCAACAGGGAGAAGCTGAAAATTTCTTAGAATTATGTGAAGTATAAGGGTTTAGATGGCTTTGGCTTTGTTATTTTAGCACAGTTTCTATTGAGATGTCGCAAAGTCGTACGCTCGGGATGACTTTGAGAAAAGCAAAAGAGGGGAAAAGCGCCTTCTTCAACATGTGCAAAAACAGAACACAAGTTAACGGGGTTCAACTTCAAGCCTCTTAAAGCATTTGAATGGAAAACACCCAAATACAATCACAAGCAGGCAGAGCAGTACAGAAACACCTTTTGATGATTGAAATGTACCCGACGGGCACTTGAGTATTTTTTTTTATTCCCTATGTAATCCCAGCCCAACTAATTCTAATCTTTTTCTTCACAGGCACGGATGGATCAATATTTCACTCAAATGTCCAAGATTGCTGATGAGCGAAAGTCCAGGATTAAGTTCACTCTTAAAGATGCCATTGACTTGAGAAATGTAAGTTACTTCTTTTTTCCCCTTTCTTCATATCGGAATGGTGTTTGACTCATGGAGTTCTTTCAAATGCTTGTATAGTGTTTCCAAGCTCAGTTGTATAGCAACAATTCTATTTGTCTAGCATTTATATCTATGTGGTCTCATGTATTTCCATGTAGCAGTCGCAGAGATTGTGCCTTCCAACATCTTATCTTAGCTTCCCCTCCTCCTTTTCTTTGTATGTTACACTCTCTAGCACAACACCTTACCTGTAGCACTTAACAATTTGCGGTCACTTGGCACAATGATGTGACGGTGAAGAAAATTATCCCTTCAGGTCACCTGGCACAGTTCTGCGTTGGGCTCGAGAAATCGTTGCAGTCGCCCTCCTGGCTGGGTGACCACATGGGGTATTTTGTACCACTGGCCATGTGACTGCAAAGTGTTAACATGACCTGTTTGTTTGGCGAGTGCTTGAAGATTTTTACTAAAACAGACTTGATTTTCTTGGGTGATTGGTGGGTGTACAGCTTATGTTTGCTCCTTCTTTCCTATCGAACATCTATCGTCCTGTTCTCTCCTTTTTTGTGTTTGTTACTCTCTTATAACACCTCTAATTTTCGTCACTTATGTGACTTAATTGTGTTGCAAGTGCCGTAAAACTCTTACTATAACTTGATTTCCCTCAGAACAACTGGGTGCCAAGGAAGGAACAGGCCGGCCCCAAGAAAATCGATGAAGTTCACAAGGACTACGAGCAGGAGCAGGCGAGGAACCAGTTCCTGAACTCTCAGCCACTTCCTCCCCGCAACGACAACCAACAGCCTGGCAGCCGCAGGGGCAGCAGACGTGAGTGTGGCCGGTTGTTGTTGTTTTGGGCCAGTTGACTGTTGTTGTTACACCTCGAAGACACAGATAAGGGTGCTCTCGTGGCCTAGACATTAAGATGTTGGCCTCTCGTTCAAATGTTCTGAGTACGATTCCAGGTAGCAAGGGGGAAAATGTTATACTCTAAAATTGTCTCCCTTCACCTCCTTTCCTGCTCTCAAAAAAACTTTTGTCGTCTGCTTTCATCTCCGCTGATTGTGATGCAGGTGCCAGAATACTGTAACTAAAGCTAAACTAAACCTTTCCAGGCACGTCGGACATTTTCTAGCTTATGCCTGGAATAAAATTGTCCAAAGGCTTATTTACCTACGTGGTGGCGGGTGCTCTGGTGTGGTCTGCTCCTTCTTTCCTATCATCCTTATCTACCCTCCTTTTTTATGTTTGTTACTCGCTTGTAACACCTCTAATCTTCTGTCGCTCATATGACCTTATGCACTTGCGAACGCCGAAAAACCTCTACTAAAACAAAAAACCTACGTGGTGGTGCCAGGTGCCAGAATTGTCATGTTGAATATGTGTGCCCAATATTATGAATTAGTTCCCTGATTGTTTTAAAAGTTCGTGTGAGAAAATTTGATTGAGTGCAGCATTCTTTCTTGTATGTATTTGAGTTGTCAATTTTAATCTGAAGTGGACTTTAAAACAGCCTCGCATTGTGGAGGGGTAAAACGTTCCATCTTAGACAGGTGGACATCTTCAACTGTGTCATGAGGGATAAAATGTTCCGTCTTAGACAGGTGGACATCTTCAATTGTGTCGTGAGGGATAAAATGTTCCATCTTAGACAGGTGGACATCTTCAACTGTGTCGTGAGGGATAAAATGTTCCATCTTACACAGGTGGACAAATTCAACTGTGTCGTGTCATTTAGTTGTTATGAAAAAGGGGGGGGGGGGGAATAAGTCGCTATTTGTACAGGTGAAAGTCTTTGGCAGGTGGCTGTTAGAGCAAATGTGACTGTGTTTCCTGTGTGTGTGTTGTGCTATGCTCATACAACCGTCGGTTTGTGTTGGTGGTTTGCGGGTGCTCTGGTATCGTTTGCTTCTTCTTTCCTATCAAACATCTATCGGCTTTATCTCCCCTCCTTCTTTTTTGTGTTTGTTACTCTTTTGTAATACCTCTAATCTTCGGCACTTCTATGACCTTATTGTAATGGAAGTGCCGTATAACACTTTATAAAACAAACACCGTTTTGTACACCAACAGAACGCCAGGAGGAGAAGCCAAATGACGAAGGCTGGAACACGGTGGGCTCCAAGTCTCTCCGTATCGACGCCTCCAAGATGAGGCTGTCCAAGGTAAGAGTTGGCACAGTGCTGGAGCTGTGGCTTGATCGTCGTATTCCCAAGATGTGGCATCAGGATTAGCTATTCGATTTTTTTTTTTTTTTTAAGAAAGCACTCTGTGAAAGGTCTTTTCAGTTTGTTAGTGTTTGAGCACTTTATTAGCTGCTTGCACTGTATGCTTCCCGGGAAGCTGAGAATGTTTTTGAGTGTTGTATGGTTGCTGGGGTAATGATGTAGTGTAAAGTGCTTGCTGTAAAGCTGGGTTATGCGCTTCACAAATGCTATTTATTTGTAAAATGATTATTATTGTTATTGTTAATGGAATGTTGTACCTGTTTCTCCCCAGCAAAGTGTGGTGGATGAGAACAGCATCCAGCTGGGGCCCGGGGGTGGCATGAGCAAGTTTGGCATGTGGAGCCGGGGCAGCTTTGGTGGAGCGCAGCAGCCTTCACAGGACGACCGGCCCGCACCTGCCAGTAACAGGTCTGCTGGCTTTTTATGCTGGTTTACACAACCCAAGGGTATTGGGAGGGGGGGGGGGTGTGTGAGGATTTTCTGCACTGGATTGTGATTTTTAGATTTGGGGAATCTTCGTAGGCTGGCATTCTGTGTAAAGTGACATTCAACGCTGCATTTTAACTTTTTTTAAAAGAAATCTAAGCTAAGATAGAGTAATTCTTTTATCTTTGTTTTTTTATTAAACGCTTTAGGAAGGTTGTATTTACTATTTAAACAAAAGAAACAATTGCTGTATCCCCAGCTTGGAATTTTTTCTGTGGGTTATTATCTCTGTGCTTTGTGCTTTTTTTCTTCTTTTTCGAGAGTTGTAAACTTGTTAGAAATTCATTTTTGTTCTTAATGAGGTCATTTCACCATTCTGTAGTTGATCAGCTGTTGACTGTACGTAGTACTCTGGTCTTTTCTTCGTCTGTAAGATGTGATGTGGAAAGTTTCTGCACATCAAAAGATTTTTAAAAAAAATTTTTTTGGTGTGACTTGGGGGCTTGACTCTGCTGTACTGCTATTGTAAAGATTGTCTGAAGGTGGATGTAATGCATGTTTTCACAGGTTTTCTGCTTTGCGAGATGATAAAGACAGGAGGCCGTTCGAGAGATCTCCTTCCCGTGGTGACCGCGATGGACCCAACCGCGGCATGCGCCAGGGCCCCACGGCGGGCCACGGGCGCGGCAAGATGATGGCTCGCTCCAGTCAGGAGGGTGAACGCAGAGATCTGCTGGCCAGTGCAAGGTGAGAGAGACAAGCCGGGTGTGGTCCCATGCAAGATAGGCAGTTAATAATCGCGACCTCTGTGCTTTCTTGTCCTATCTCCAAAATTATAATATTGATGTCTTCTTGTTAGGCTTACTCTTTGTTATGAAATGTTGATTTCACAGTTATTAAAAATGGATATAGAACAAAAAAGCACTACGGTCCTGTAATATTCAGTGATACAATTTTCAAGATAAGCAGTGACAATACTTATTAATTCTATTGTGTACTGTGTGGCAGGCATAGACTGCAGGTAACTTTGGTTGCAAAGAGCTCAGATGCCGTGTACTTAAGTTGGGGTTGAGCACTGTATGAATGCCATATTTTATTAGTTGTAGTAACTCCTGAAAACTGGGAATTGGGCGTTTCTAGAATTCAGGCAGGTTTGAACATATTTGTAGTGGGTGTGTGGCTTTTTAAAATTCAAACCCTTGAAGCTTTTGTTGAAATTTTGTAAACTGATGACCTTATGTTTTTGCGAGCACCGTAAAACCTTACTAAAACTATACTGAAACTTTTTAAAATCTTCTTCCCCATAAAGGACAATTGTTGGTGGAAGATCTCAGAACTCTAGTCGAGACAACAGCTGGAACCGCGAGGACTCCAGGCGGCACCTGGGTCCGCGTGGATCTCGCGAGGCGGACAACCCCATGACCCGCAGCGACATCTCCTTGCGGCCAAACGAGGAGTTCCGCACGCCCGCGCCGCCACCAGCCAAGAAAGTCAAGGAGATGTCCGAAGAGGAGATGGAGCACAAGGCCAAGACGATCCTGGAGGAATACCTGAGCGTCCGCGACCTGGCTGTGAGTGTTGTGTGTCCATTAACTCATCCTTGTGTTACTGTCTGTGTCTGATTGACACAGGGAGTACTTCAACGTCTGCGACCTCGCTGTGAGTGTCACCGCGCTCCGTGCACCGAGCGTTGTCTGGTTGTCTCTGGTTGAGATGTACACAGGGACACTGTGTTACTGTCTGTGTTTGACTTAATCAGGGTCGCTCTGTCTGACTTGCACAGGGTTTTTAGTATTTTCACTAGACAACAAATATTATTCTATCCCATGCGTTTGCTGTTTCACCTGTTGTAAGTTCCATATAGTCTTTTTGTGTAACTTCGCCATTATCAAGTACAAGGTTTTTTTTTTTAAAAGACATTTACTTTTTTTGGTAAATATTTTCCTCCACGCTGAAGCTTTGTTTTTCAAATTTAACGTCCTGATCACTTTTCTCTCTTCCCCCAACAGGAAGCCAAGCTGTGTGTGTCTGAGTTGGCGGGCCAGCCGCGTCTGTACCTGGTGGTGACAGCCAGCATCAACAACGTCCTTGAGGGAACCAACACGGCCCGCGACCTCACCGGCCAGTTCTTCCACGAGCTCATCAAGAGCAACAACATAACGCTGGACATGTACACCAAGGGGTAAGCTTTGGGGGCGGTGGTGTGTTGCTGTCAGCCAGCACGTGTATGTACACCAAGGGGTAAGCTTTGTGGGTCGCTGGTGTGTAGCTGTCAGCCAGCATGTGTATGTACACCAAGGGGTAAGCTGGTGTGTCGCTGTCAGCCAGCAAGTGTAAAAACTATGTTACACTTGTAGGAGTCAGTACTGAAGTCGCATCGGGGAAAAAAGTTTTCTATCTTTGCCCTCATGGATTGGTTGATGCTGAAGAAATATTATGGACTTTGTAGACTGGATTTGGGAATAATTGAGAAGAACCAAGCCCATTGGTAGAGTGGAGAGACCTCTTGCTGTAGGTCTACTTTGAATAGGTAACAGTTTCTTTTTGTAAAATTTGAGCAATAAAAGGTTTTTTATAATCACTCCAGTTAGAATAATGCTGAAAGTTAATGTTATTTATATTTACTGTGGGTTTTTTTAATGGTGGGACTGGGTGGAGGGAGTGGTTTGTGGGTGCTGTGTACGTAAATGAACCCGTCCAAAAACTATTTGCAGCTTGAACGAAGTCCTGACGTACGCGGAGGACATGGTGATCGACATCCCCATGATGTGGACGTACCTGGCACAGATGATCAGCCCGATGGTCGTGGGAGGCTCTCTCAGCATGGCCAAGATGGTGGGCGTGCTGAAACCGGCGCTGGAGTCTCGCTGCTGCGTGCAGCTGCTGTCTCAGTGTCTGTTGCAAATGAAGGACAAACTGGTGAGTGGGTGCGCTGGGAACTGGAGCCATGTGCTTACGGGGAAGACCAGATTTTCTCAATAGTGACGTTAGAATATGCTCTGTCGAGTCTGCTTTGATATTCATGCTATTCTCTGTTTTCATACTCGTTCAAATCTATTTTGAATGAAGTTTGTGCTCTTGAGTTTTTTTCCTTTCGCCATAATCCAACCTTCTTATTTTGACGATTGTGAATGGCTTTGCCTACTATTTGTCTCTCGTGCTTTTTTTTTCTTCTCATGTAACACCTGTAATCATCAGCATTTGTGTCCGAAAATTGTGTTGCAAGTTCTGTAAAACTCGTACTAAAACTACAGTGAAAAAGAGTGGAATGTTGTGTATTAGGTAGCTTATACCAGAGTCAATTGACAATAATTGGTAGAAACTAATTGCTGCCTTGAAATCACAAACACACCACAGGCACGCACACACAGTCACGCACGCACACCACACACACACACTCAAATTAAACACCTCATGTGTCTGTGTCCCCCAGGGTGATGATGCCGTGGCCCAGATGTGGCAGAGCAGCGGCGCCAGCTTCTCAGATATTCTCCCCGCGGGCGAGGTGGACGGCTTCCTCAAGGACAAGAAGCTGGAGTTCATCAACAAGCCCGTGTCGGCGGCGGCCGCCGCCCAAGTCCCCACGCCCGGCCAGCCCGACTGGCTCAAGTTCTCCGAGGAGGTGGAGGCCATGGTGCGGAACTCGCGGCCCAGCGACGAAGTGATTGCCTTTATTGAGGTGAGTCGCTGGAGGGAGGTATCCATGTGGGGGGTTGGCGGCTGCTCTGGTGTGGTTTGCTTCTTTTTTCCTATCAAACATCTATCGTCCTTATCTCCCCTCCTTCATTTTTGTTTGTTACTCTCTTGTAACACCTAATCTTTTGGCGCTCAAATGACATTAAGTTGTGAGTGCTGTAAAACCTCTACTAAAACAAAAAGGAGGTATCCATCGCATTGTAGGGTCGGTCGTGTTTGGGCTGTTGGGCTGGCACTGGAAGGTAGGTTAAAATTTGATTGAGATGAGTCACAGGAGGGAGGGTCAGTCGCTTTGTATTGCGAGTGGTTGAGCTGTTAGACTCCCAACTGAAAGGTAGTGGGTTCGAACCCTGTCAAGGGCCTGATGTTGTGTCGCTTGAAAAAAAAGCAGTGTTTTAGAATTTTCCTCACTTCACCCAGGTGAGAATGAATGAGCCCACCTTCCCTCTTTCTCAAAGTGGGGACAGCTTCACATGTGAGCTCTGTAGAAGGTACATGGGGTCATTACTTACTCTTATCGAGTTCACATCTATTATCTATTTGTGGTGGCCGAATTTTGCTATTCAAAAGGCTTTTTAATGGCTGCATCGATCGGCATGCGGTTTTGCCAAAAAATTCTTTAAAATATTCTCCAGAGCACGGCGCCCTTGATTTTTTCAGTTATGAGAGTTTTTCTGCAAAAAGCTAAATTTCTTTATTTCGCCTATCGCATTTGTAGGCCATAGCTGCCACTTTCCCGCTAAATAGCGGAAACTCCGCTTCATCTAGCTTTTCCAGCTACTTTCCTCCACTGGACCGCTCTCGGTCGCAAATTGCGATACTTTTTTACACGCGGAAAACACCGAACTGGGAGAGAGACGAAAACGCAGCTTGCGCAAGTCCGCCCGTAGCTTTCTACTTCCGTTCTTCTAGGCCCAGCGCTAGTTTCACTTTGTTTATTGTGGAGCAACAAAGTGTCGATCGGGCATCAGGACGTTAGCGTGCCGAGTTGTCATTGAAAACGGCGGAAATTCGAGAGAAATTGATGCAGAATGCAAAAATAAAAGGAGCTCCGCTTGTTGCACTTTGCGTTTGGTGCGATAAAGAAATCGCGGCCCGCGGCACTCCTGTACTGTGTACAATTGCGGTCCCGTTTGTTTACATGACCGCTATTGTGGCTGTTGAAGTGAATCTAGATTCTAGATCTAGATCTTGATAATCTATCTCTAGATATAATCTAGATCTACACATATTTAGATATCTAGATTCTAGATCTAGATTAGAGATAGCCTAGGCTATAATTTTAATTCAGGTGAGATCTACACTCTACAGAGGGACTACTAAGTTAAGTGCAAACGGGACTGCAGTTGTACAGGAGTGCTCAGTACAGCGGCAAAGGTGTTGCCTCCTTGATCCAATACTGCGCGCGCTATACATCGATGTACAAGTTTAAAGTGAAAGAAATCTTTTTATAAGACACCAGCTTGCAACAAACACTGGATTTTTAGTCACCAAGTCCAAACTGTGTCAAATTGACTGAAATGTTTGTTAGTCTCCTTTGTGCCTTTGTTGTGTGTTTTTTTCAAATACATTTTAATTCAGTTGTCTATGGTTAAGTTTTCCCTTCCAAAACCGTAGGCTAGATTTTCCAATATATATTGCCTCTGGATCTCACTGGTTTTACTCCGGCCTTCGGAGAGCACGCATCCGACTTCGCATGAATTTCCTCTTTTTTTGAAATTCCTGAGTGGCAGCTGTGGTAGGCTGACGCTTCTGTCTCTAATTTTAGAAAATCCAGAAGTGATATTTCGCGAGGCGCGTTTTGTTTTGAGAGTATAGATCTAGTCCTTATAATTTTTGCATCTCTCAAGATTTATTGCCCCATTCCAGTAGAGTGTAAATATAGTAGGCCAATGACTTTTAGTTGATGTTAAACAGTGCTTCCACTCTTCCGTATTTTTACGGAAATCCGTACTTTCTGCTAGTTCCGTACTTGTCCCTCCATCATCATCAACTCCCTCCGTAAAAATCTGCGATAGCGTAGGACTACCGAAATTCCGTAGCAAAAGATCCGTACTCGCCTTCGTATCGTCTTGTATAAGTTACGGATATTTACGGTAATTCTCTCGGCAATAGTTTATGCTATAGAAACCTGCCAGATTGCGCATTTCCTGCAATCGGCCATTATTCTACTCTGTCCCATGCATTCATTGCAGTACTACATTTTTTACCTGCAGATTGATCAAAATCTGGCGAACTTTTTGTGCCACTTTCCTCCTTTCTATCGTTCCCTCATTCCGTCTGTCTATCGTCGGATTGTTGCCGCGGCTGGAAGAATCTGCGCGTTGATCAAGTAAATTGACATGTGATCTTAGACAGAAAATTACTGTCAGAAAGAATTTTTTTTGCAAATTTATTGTCTAGATTCTAGATCTAGAGAAATTATCATTGCGAAGATTCGGACGAGCGACAGTCGTTCTAACACTTACACAACTACATGTAAACTGCGCTGGCAAGACTAACATACGGCCGTTGTCGTTGCTTTAGTCTGAACGCATTATGAGGGATAAGAGATTTGTTGGTACATTTGGTCGGTTGGCCCCCGTCGTTATCCTAGAAGTAGAACGACTGTTTCTCATCCGAGTATTTTGTTTGAACGTGCAGTTAGTCGGACCTGTTAGTAAAATTGTTTCAATCGCGCATACGCATCACGTGACATGACGTCGCCGTGAGTTCTGCGTGTCGGGGACCGTCCGTTGACGGGGTCAACACAAGTTCATGTATTTCGGGACTTATTGGTTTGGGGGGGTAGAGACTTTTGGACTAGGAGTGCTTAACGTGATGCTTCAGGATTTACCAAAAATAATGATAACACGCACGCAAAGACACACAGAGAGCATATAGGCCGAGTAATTTATGGACACCCATGGAAAATTTTTAAGTCAGTTTTGGCAGTCACCTTGGTGATTTGCTGTTGATCCCGATTTTTTTTCACCAAATCCCGATTTTTCTCTCCCTGAGATCCTAATTTTGAGGCTTCATAGAGTGGCAGGTCTGGTAACTGTATTGTGAAGGTACAGCCTACATATATCTATTCATTATTCCCAGGTTTGCCTTCTATCAGTATCAAAGGTGCGATGACAAATTAATTGAATTATAGTAGCAATGGAAGGGGAACCTGCTTTTAAACATTGCCAGCAATGGAAAGATATATTGGTGAAGAAATTAAACAAGACAAAATATTGGTGAAAAAATAAGTAGTATGGGTTGTTGGCAATCTCTTCAAACAGGCTCCCAAATGCCATTTTCAACCCTCTAAAAGTACTAAATTTCTATTTCTTCGGGGGCTTCGCCCCCTGATCCCCCACCGGGACGGACCCTGCTGGGGGCCTCTGCGGCCCCCAGACCACCAGCAGAATTTTCCTTACTTTTCAGCTACAGCTGGTGGAAGCACTGGTTAAAGCACCGGCCTAGACGGTCAGAGAACGGTTAGTATAAGAACGTATAGGCACCGCTGATCATTCCTTTCATCGAATGGGGGCCCAGCTAGTAGTTTATAAAGATGGCAATGGGCTCTGGTGTGAAAGTGCATGAGTACTAGTTTGTGATCCTAGAATGACAGGACATTATCCCTCTGGAACAATAAAGTTGTCATCTTTTCTTTTCTTATGCAAAGAAAGTCCTCAGCAACTGTTTTGTTTTTGTGTCTCCCCAGAAAACTGTTGGGAAGGAGGTCCAGAACAAGAGCTTTATCCGTGCTCTGACGACGGCCATCGCAAGCTCTTCTATATCAAGGCGTAAGTAGCAGCCCGTTTGTCCTGACCGCTGGGCAGATCGCGACCCCAGTGCTTTCTTGTCGTGTTTCCATTTTTACTAGCAGTGAAAATAGTTCGTAACGAAAAGTGAGCTTGAGAAGTCACATTTTCACTGTTTAAGAAATGGAGATATGACAAGAAAGCACTGAGGTTGCGAGATGCTGTGTGTGTAAGTGCTTATTGCTCTTCTGGAACATTCATCATGAAATAGTCTTCTGAATATTTAACGTAGATGAAAATATCCAAGTGTATGGGTAGATTTATTTTGTTCAGTACATGGTATTGTGATAGTCCTCCATTTTAAGCAGTACATGGTATTGTGATAGTCCTCCATTTTAAGCAGTACATGGTATTGTGATAGTCCTCCATTTTAAGGAAAAATTGTTTTTGTAAATAGATTCTATTACTTTGCATTTCCCTTTAGTCAAGTTTCCTTTTGGCAAGTCAGTCTCCTTTGCAAGGAACAGGAAGAGACCCTACAGGAAATGATTACGATTGTCATATAGCCCATTTCATACATGTATTTGTAGATATAAATTGAATGACTCTATGAGAATGCTGCTTTGTGTAGGCTGCGTGCGACCGTCTCTCAGCCTCTGAAAAAGCCCATTGACAGGCCGGGAGATTCCCACAAAATTGTGTATTTCCTTGTTAAAGCGACAACAATTTCTTACGACAGCTGTCTCTCCCTCCACAGCCCCCGGTCCTATGAAGGCGAACGAGGATGTGATAAAGACGCGGAAAGGAATCCTCCAGCGGTACATCAAGTCGAACCAGCTGGAACTGCAGGCTCTGTACGCCATCCAGGCCCTGATGACCAAGCTGGAGCACCCTTCAGGTAACCTGGAGGATCAGAAACTAGCTTCTGTGCAGCAGGTTTGCTGCAAACTCGTGTGATTTACAATCTTTTGTCCACGTGATTTATCTACTCCGGCAGACCCTAGAACTGTCAGAAAGTTCCCAGGGAGCCTTTAGTATAAGTGGCTGATTGATAGCTGGAAATCTAGTAAACCAACATGATCTTTTGCTGTCGGCAGCCGAAAATGTTTGTAAAGTTCCTTCCTTTCCCAAAGACACAATGAAGGGGCCCCTTATTAGGTACGAACCCATGTCTTGTGGGTCACCAGCCTAACAGCTGCGCCACTATGACCTTATTGTGTTGGCAAGTGCCGTAAAACTTACTAAAACTTGTCTCCCCTCTTTCTTTTTTGTGTTTGTTAGTCCCTTGTAACACCTCTAATCTTTGGCACTTGTAGAACCTTATTGTGTTGCAAGTGCCGTGAAACGTTTCCTAACACTAGAAAAAACAAACCCTCAAAGAGTTTATTGAAATGTGAAATTGTGTGTTGTGCTGCGTTCCCAGGTGTGATCAGCTGCCTGTTCGACACACTGTATGACGAGGATGTGATCAGCGAGGACTCGTGCAAGCAGTGGGAGAAGAGTGCGGACCCGGCCGAGCAGGAGGGAAAAGGCGTCTGCTTGATGCAGCTCACACAGTTCTTCACCTGGCTCAGCGAGAACGAGGAGCCCGAGGCGGCCAGTTGAGAGTGGCCCCCCTCCTATAGACCCGGGCCGCGAAGGAGTAGGAATTATTCAGTAAACCGCATTTGTTTCCATTAAATGAATATGATGATGATGATGAGAGTTGAAAAAAGATTATTTTGAATTGTGTACATATATCTATAGATATAAATTAAATGATGCTATGAGAATGCTGCTTTGTTTGTGTGGGATGCCAGCGACGTGCGACTGTCTCTCAGCTTGATGATACTGGACTGACTGACTGACTGACCGACTGACCCTCTGCTGTTGACGGGTGGGAAGAGAGGGTGGTGGGGGTTGCTGTCAGTGTTCAGCACATGGGAACAAAACCACGGTGCCTAAAGCCTCGTGCCGCTGTGGGAGGTTTATGAAGTTCTCTAAGATAGAACATTGGTCTTGCTGTGTTCTCCTGTCTTGTGGGATGTGGCAGGATGTGGTGGCGTTTGGTTTTGTTCCCATGTACTGGCCTCTGAAAGCGCTTTCACAAACACAAACACACACTTACACACACAAACACACACACACGAAGTATATGGAGGGGCATGTGGTCAGCACTGGGGTAAATATTTATTTAAAAAGCAGACGTTGATTCCCAGAAGCATGTTGTATGTGATGTACATAGTTTTACATTGTGAGCTGTCTCTCTCACAAAAAACTTGTCATGTCGATTTCATGTCTACTGTGTTTGATGACGGCTAGTGCTGCTCTTGTGTTTGGGCGTGCGCTGGATGTTTGGATCTTGATAGTACCTTCCTAGGTCACCTGTTTGTTTTGTTAGCTCGCCAAGTGCCCCCTCGTGACAGAGGATGGAGACTCGGTGCTGAGACCTGTGGGAAGGGTAGAACTAAAATGCCTTCATCTCTCTCCTTGGGCCCCTGAACCATGCCAGGACCTGGTTCTTGGGAACAGAAAGTTCTTTTTCCGAAGAAGTCAGTTGGCTTTTCCGCGTAGACATGTGGAGGAGGCTACTTTCCACTGGGGGCGGCCGAGAAGTGTCCAGCAATTTGACAGGATTTTGTTCCCCGCGTAGTCCATTGTGAGGCTAACTTTGAGGAATCCTGAGTAGTGTGAGAGTGTCTTGTCACAAGATGAAGTACGTGCAAGCCGTGAGTGTATGGTCAGTTGTGGTCAGTCGATTCCATTGTTTTATTTTGTTGCAATCCTCCTCTCCCTCTCTGACCTCGGGGGGGTTTGTGTAAATTCCGAGGTCGGAGGAGGTGAGGAGGGTGATGGCTGCAGCGAGCGGAGAGATTGGGCGGGCTTGTTGTGGCTGTGTCTTGTCCTTTGACCATGGTCAGATCTTGTTTGCTGCCATACCGTGACAGCGCGGACGTGCTTGTGGTTGCTGCTGTGTCGCACAGTGACGGGCGGACACGCGCTGAAGAACTAGTTAGAACTGCCAGTGTTGATGACAGCCGTAGCGCTCGGCGAGAGCTAAGCTGTATCGGGTAGATCGCATAAGAGTTGGAATCAACGCATGATTGCGTTTCTTTTGGGGAATATTTGGCATGTTCAAGTAGACTCCTGAGTTCGTTTCTTCTATCCTGCCTTTGGTCTGTGTTGAGATAAAGCGAATGTCTTTGTGCAGACAGCAGCATCTACAGGAGCCGTCCAACCTGTGAACTTTTTGTAAATACAACAGAGTTTGCTTAGTTTGTGTTTGGAAGTTGTGCGCTTTTCTTGGCCCACAGGGTTCTCCGTTTCAGCTGTGCTGCATCTAGGGGTGGCCATGTAATCAGGAGTTTCCTTTTTTTCTCATTTCCTCTCCAAAGTTCTTTCTCCAGAGTCCAAAAATTCTTGACAATATTGAAGTAGAAACAAAGGACTTGTTTTGTTTTTTCAAAACATTATTTGAGATGATGGCGTCCTGTATCTGCGCATGTTTTTAGAGCACTCTACCATTGTCCTACTGAGCTGGATGCTTTGTTTCTTTCCCCGTAGAGAGAAGGTCATGGGATGTGAGAAAGATCAGGTCAATTATGTAAAGTTAAAAGTTCAGGAAAATCCACCTGAAATGTGAGGTTCTGCTGGAGGCTAGGAATCCCGGTGGATTGTTTTGTTGAAACATCCTGGAACACTTTGTCTGTCTGTCTGTCTGCTTGTTCTGGTCCCCTGAAGTGTTAAATAATTTATTGAAAAGACTTGAGAGAACACTTGTGTGTTGCTGTTGTCCTGTGTGTGTTGCTGAGTGGGTCATGTGGTCAGCTGCCGCTGGACTGGACCTCTCAACCGACGCTTTCGATGCCTTATCTATCGTGTTTGTCAATTCTGACTGCGGTCCCAGCTGCAGGGTTTGCCGTAGACCTCTCATCATGCTCCATCCTCCAAATTCCTAGCTTTTGGTTTTTGTTTTTGCTGCCAACATCGTGACTGGTGCGGGCGTTCTGGGTTATGTGCCCGTTTGTTGGGTTTAGTCTACCACGAAATTAAGACGTGCTCGATTTATTTGACTATTTAAACAAAAAAAATTTTGAGAAATTATTCTGTGGCTGTCTCACGAGTTTTTTGCCAGTAGTTTATAACAGATCCAGTGGATGAGTTGCAAGAACATAATTGTTTTTTTTTGTTTTGTTTGTTCTGTTCTGTCGTTCTCCCAATCTCTGATTGTTTGTGACCATATTATTATGATGATTTTCGTTATGCTCAGTGTCACAGAAGCTTTTGTTGCGGATCCTTGCATCACCATCACAGACTCCATACCGTTTTCTTCCTCCGCGCCCCCCGCCCCCCAGACAGAACTAGAATATATGCATTTGTACATATGTTTCCTCCCCCAATTGCATCCGATGTTTCTTCAACACACGACCAGATCAAGGTATTTCTGTGGAGAGAATTGTGGCGCTGTTGAGAGTGAGTGTGTCCTCCCTCTCCCCTCCCCCTCTCACCTCTGTGACCTTGTCAGGGACGTTGCAAGTTTTTTTGTTCTTGTTGATGACTATGATAATGTGGTGGAGGGAAATTACATGCCCAGACGAGTTTTGGTTGGGTTTTTTTTTTTTTCCTCAAGTTTGTTGGTTTTCCTTTTTTGTCCTGGACTTTTCCCCGAACGGTCGGGTCGGGTAGTGAGTGGAGCCGGTCTGTGGGTGTAGCTGTGAGTGGGTCGCGTCACGTCCCGTCAGGTCGCGTGGGCCACGGCTGATGGGGAAACTGTTGAGCAACTCCTAGATCTACCACCTCTGCCTGCCACATTGGGCTTGGCCTGCTTCTGTTGGATATACTATAGGGTTGTAGAGCTAGGGACTCTTTTTTTTAGGAAGAGGAGGAGGAAGGAGAGAATAATCCTCCTCCCTCCTTTACTCCCTGTTCGTTGATGACTGCCAGCCTTTATTTGTTCCCCGGCGAAGGTTTTTGGGGAATGTGTGAGGCACAAGCCCACCCAAATTGTTATGACTGCTTTGTTGGTGGTCAGTATCTCTCTCTCTCTCTTTCTCTCTCTATCTCTCTTTCTATCTCTGGATCTGCGAGTATAGCAGCGCGTTCATTCCTGGTAGTGATGACCATGTCTCTGGTGCATGTGGAGCTGTGTGTCTGTGCTCCGAGGTTTGCCTGTGTGTGCGAGCCGTGTGCTGGGTGTGTGTTGTGTGCACGCGCCGCCAACACTGGGGCGTCGGGGGCTGTACACGTGAAGTATTTTTGACTATAAAAAACGTGCATAATTTTATGCAATTTACGTGTATTTTTTGGTTTTGTAAATACTTTTAATCTTTTGACAAAAAAAATCGAAAAAAAATCACAAATAATAAAAAAAAAACTCCTCTAAAATGTTGTGTTCCTTGTTTGTTTTGTTTTGGGGGTTTTTTTGTCTTTGTACTGTGTATGGTTATTTAGCTTAGTTTATCAAGAAGATAGAGAGGTGAGCAGAGTAAGCCTGATTCCCTGTACTGTAAGGACTTCTCTGTTGACATCCACCTCTTGGCGCTCATATGACCGTATGCAGTTGCGAGCGCCGTAAAACCTCTACTAAAAACACACCAAAAACTCTACTTTTATGTATGTTTGTCACTCTCCTGTGAACTTATTTCCAAGGTGCCTTGATAGTCGAAGCAGACTTTGTTCTGTTGAGGCGAGAGAGGTGAGCAGAGTAAGCCTGATTTTATTCCTCGTTTGGACTTCTCTGTTGACATCCACCCCTTGGGGCTCATATGACCTTATGCAGCTGCGAGTGCCGTAAAACCTTACTAAAACTAAACATTGTAACTCCTTATCGGGAAAATCGCTGGAGAAAGTGAAGAAGAGGCCTGAAACTATAAACTGCTGCACGTTTAGTTTGACAGAAAAGAAAATGAAACTGCACTGGCTTCCTGTTGAGGAAAGAATTGTGTTCAAGTCAGCCACTCTGTCTCTAACTGTAATGCTTGAATGATAATGTCTTTTCACTGTAATCCTTGAAGGATAATGTCTCTGACTGTAATGCTTAAATGATAATGTCTCTTAACTGTAATGCTTGAAGGATAATGTCTCTAACTGTAATGCTTGAATGGTAATGTCTATCTGTATTGCTTTAAGGATAATGTCTCTATCTGTATTGCTTTAAGGATAATGTCTCTAACTGTAATGCTTGAACTTGAATGATAATGTCTCTAACTGTAATGCTTGAAGGATAATGTGTCAGATCTGTGGAAACTATGTTCTTACTCGCAGAGTAAGGTCGTCAGCTGACAAAGAATTTTATTTTACTCATCATACGAAGTGTAACGAAGTACGGTTTTTTTTCGTAAGGGTTTTTCGGCATTTGCAACACAATGTCATTTGGGTGGTTGGCGGGTGTTCTGGTGTGGTTTGCTTCTTCTTTCCTATCACACATCTGTCGTCCTTATGATCTTCCCTTCTTTTTTTATGTTTGTTACTCTCTTGTAACACCTCTAATCTTCTGGCGCTCATATGACCTTATACAGTTGTGAGCGCCGTAAAACCTCTACTAAATCTAAGTCTAAAACACAAATGTCATATTATATAGGTGCCAAATATAGGTTTCAAGAAACATACTCAAATAAAGGAGGAGATATAAGGACGATAGAGATGTTTGATAAGAAAGGAGCAAACCACACCAGAGCACCCGCCAACCACCCACTTACCGTCTATGAAACTTAAAACAATGGGTGAAAGGGCATTTGAATATCACGGCCCCAAGATCTGACTGAAACGTTTTGAAGAGAGATCAAGCCCATTAATTTATTCAAATGTCGGCTAAATTGATTATGATAATGATAGTCGAATCAGACCTTGTGCTATTGAGGCTAGAGAGGTGAGCAGAGTCGGCCTCACACACAGTGCTCGCTTCTCCGACGCTTCTTGTTCGGTTGCGACATCTTTCTCCGAAAAAGTTGCATCGCCAAATTTTATTAACGAAGGATTGAATGAACGGCGCTACAGTGGGCGCGGAGCAGACGCAGCGCTGGACGGAGCAGAAAAAGTTCTCCGCGTGCACTTGCTGCTGAAATAAAATTTCGAGCGTCTGCTGCGCGGCTAAACTGTTGTGGCGTGATAGTGTAGTGCGTGTAGGGTGTAGTCATAGTGAATTGACAAATTTTGACTACAATGGAATCGGAGGCATCAATACACCCAGTTGAAAAAAGAAGATGTCTTTATGACAAAGCAGATCAAAATTACTGCAACAGGGCCATGATATCGGCCGAAAGGAAGAAAGTAGCCAACGAAGTTGGAAGCAATGGTAAAAACTTTCTTTCTTTCTGTCTGTCTGTCTGTCTGTCTGTCTGTCTGTCTGTCTATCCGTCTGTTTGTCTGAACATTTGTACACTGTACAACATGTATGCTTGTTTCAAACTATAGGCCAACTTTAGCTTATTAAAAGAGATGCAATGATAACCCTTTTTCAATGAGAGTGTGGACTGATCAGACGTTATAGTTTATAGCATTTGCTGTTTTGCCTTGGCAATGCACCCTGCGGTGACGAGAAATATCCCATGAAGACATTTCTCACTTCCATTCCACTTTTGGTAGCTCTGCTCCTTATAACCATTCCACTTTTGGTAGCTCTGCTCCTTATAACTTCTGGTCTGTCGAACGTTGGTAGGCCTGCTCGTGGCTCAACCACGTCATCCTCAATGTGCCGTAGCACCGATCTTCCAGGTTCTTGCATGATAATGAAATTGTGGAGCACTGTGATGGCCTTGACTGCATCTGTTGCCGACTCTGGCTGTTCATCCATTTGACTATTTTGACGCAGGAGTATACGCCACATTTGGGGAATCCTACCAAAAGAGCATTCAACTGAATTCCTCGCACGTGATAGGCGATAATTGAAAAGCTCTTTCTCACGAGTTAATTGTCTGTTTGGAAATGGCTTCATCAAATTTCCTCTCAATGGAAATGCATCATCTGCTACGAATGCAGATGGGAGGGTTGTGTCACTGTCTGTATCTTGTGGTAAATCCAGCTTGTCAGCCAGCAGTCTTTTTCCAAATTCAAACGCTCTTTTGCTGACAGGGGTTTCCGGAAATTGGTAGTTCGCTTCTCTATGTAGAGTCCAATTTTGTCCAACAGGAGCTGAAATGTGGAGGGTCTCATCCGGATATATTTCAGGCATTTTTCTTCGTCTGAAAGGATTTCTGCCATCAGGTGATGGCATTCACCAATATGTGTCTCTCTTTTTATTGATTCTATGTACCCATTATCTACGGCGGGATCGTCTCCTGTTATGGAGCCATGAAAGCATCAGCAATTGAAGAACCTCTTTAGCCTTCCTCATTGACTGACATGTGACCGAATGAACCGAAAGACGCAGCCACTGTGTTCGCTAGAAAAGAAGTCGGAACAGACGTGGCGAGTAACTTTAAAGTGCATCGCTGCAGCAGCGGCCACTGTGTCTGCGCACTAAGCCTGATTCCCCGTTTGGACTTCACTGTTGACATCCACCCCTTGGCGCTCATTATATATTATAATATAACCGTATGCAGTTGCGAGCGCCGTAAAACCTCTACAACAACCAAACTAAAACAGACATCGGCGATGCGGTGGGTCTCTGTAACGAGCAGGCAGAGTGGAGTCACCAACCTCTCACCTCCCCATCAACCTCTCACCTCCCCACCAACCCCTCACCTCCCCACCAACCTCTCACCTCCCCACCAACCTCTCACCTCCCCTTTTTAGGCGAGTCCCCTCCAAGTCCCCTTAAAGGTTGGTGACGGAATTTTAACGCAGCACTAAAATTTCCTCCACCTTCAGTCA